GAGCAGGATCATATTAAGGCTCTATGGTCCCGTTTTTGATCTGCACATTCACTACGTATGGGTCTATTCCGTGCACGATGGAAGGATCGTAATATTTTGGCAATGCATTTATGGGGTTTTGTTGGTTAGAGTCCCGGAAAATTGATTTTGATTGGTTATGTCGAACAAATGATGGTCGTGGGTTCTAATCTTGATCAGTCTGATGACCATTTAATAAGTCATCTTTCAACATTATTTCAGTCGACACAGCAGTAAATGGGAACAGATACTCTATGAAAGATCAATGCCAAGAGCTTTGGTCAAGTACCAGGTGGTAAAAATGATACTTGCAAACCTAAGTTGTTTTCTAAATTGGCTGTCTCTTTCTCTCTTTCTAACTAATTGCTTTTAATTTTTCTTTCTTCATTATCTGTAATAGGGTGTAAATAAATCTAGGTTTGTATTTCCACCGTCCTGTCTAAAATTTAAATTTGAATGATTCAATCGATATTTGAAATGTATATAAGTTAAAAGCTATTTAATAAATAAACAGATGTTTTTGAAACTTTCAAGATGAACGTTACTCTGATTCTAGCTTTTTTTGTCTGTCAGTTGGTCGCTATTGTCTCCAGCAGTAAGTATGAAATTTAACGGATTCAGAGAGGCTTTCTTTTCTGTGTTTTAGGGAACCGCGATGGTTCAATGAGTGAGAAGTTTGCTCGCTAAGGTTAAATTCCGACATAGATCTAGATGATACCTTCTGAGTTTCCCCCTCTCGATGATGTAGCATTGAAAAAGATTCTAGTCGTTCGGATGGAACAATAAACCGAAGCTCAGTGTGCTACAGGCTGTGCACGTTAAAGATACCTCGACAGTTAAAAATCTAAAAAGAGCAAGCTAATACCGCTGTCCTAGCAAGATTTCCCTACATGGCGTTACTCCTTTTCATTAGCCCACGTGGTGCAGAAAGTACGACTTGGTTTTTTTTACTTTGTGAGTTGTTTTGAATTGTATGCAGTGGTAGAGCAATACCATACTCGTTTTTAAACATTCAAACGCGTATGGCACACATGGATTTGAAGACTCAAACTTCGACAGTCAGCTGTGAAAACTATTACTGATAAGCTTAGCTAAAATAATTCCCCTTTCTGAGGCTAAAGTAAGATTGGTAAAAAAAACATTAAAAGGGCAGGGCCGTATATACATCAAGGCGTTGCGATGAAATACATGTATGTCATATCTGGTCCCACCATAGTTTACAAGTCTTATTTGATGATATTGTCGGCTTGTGAACTCTGATTTATCGATTGAGATTTGTACTTGATTGTTGTGCTTTAGATATTCCCATATCTATTTTATTTTCAGATTGTGCTGTCAGCAATGGGGGATGTAAAATGCTTTGTAACACCCAACCTTCTGGTTTTACCTGTTCCTGTTTCTCTGGATATATTTTGGCTGATAATGGCTTCAACTGTATCGGTAAGTTTATCAAAAATTTTCGAATCTAAAGCAGTGGGGGCGCCAGCCTCCTGATATTAGGGGTACGAATAGGCCCAACATGTGGGTGGGAGTGGTGGCGGACAAACGCCGGGGTTGGATAATAAAGTGGGGGTACAATTGGGGGTGCAAACCATTTTTCTACGAGGGCAAATTCTGGTTACAAGCATGGCTTTCTGGCTGGCTTAGTTAATACTATATCTCTTGCAAGTTGAATTTTTACGGAGGACCGTTTTGTTAAATGTATAGAAAAGTTTTAGCTCTTCTTCGAGGTGCTACCACAAATTCTGCTAAGAAGGTATAGTAAGAATTAAAGTTTATGTATTGATATTTTGTCAACGGATTTTCAATCAGATTTCAGATTCTAATGTTTTGCATTTCAGATTGTAAAATACGGGGTAGATTTATAAATATATTAAGTTTAAACGTTGTACCGAACTCAAACCAAGCTAGTTGTCAAACCGAATGCTCCAACACCCTTGGATGTGCTGTCTCGGCACTGAACCAGTTCGATTCCTGCGTTTTGCATTCTTCGCCGATCATCTATGTTGGGTTTGATAAAACCGAACAAGAATGCATTGACGAATGCAGTCAGATGGGTAATTGTTTGACCCTCAACCATGGTACCAATGGTGAATGCCTCCTGTTTGATGTAACATATGGGGCTATCCCCTCTATCTCGGGATGGTCGGTCAGGTCTGACGGCTCTTATACAATTATTGAGAAGGGTACATGCCCTAGTGTTCTGTAATAACTGAAAAATAAATAATAAAATATGAAAAACTATATTTGTTATCTATAGATCATTAGAGGGGGTATTCATGTATATAATTGATACATGACCTGTTTCGATTTATAAACATGCGTAGATGCAATTTTTCTGTTCAGTAATTTCATTTAATTGGCCTATAAACACGCCCGTAGCCAGACTTGATTGTTAGGCGATCCCCCCCCCCCCCCCCCACCCTCTTACCCTCCTGTAGCTATACGGGCCTTCATATAACTCATAAGTCTAACTTGTAACTACATATAGGTCAGGCGCAGTGGCGTATTTAGGGGGTCTGACATTGGTTCATGCCGCCCCCTCCCCCTCCCCTTCCCCTCAAGCCCAAATCTCAAAAGATATCGTATTTATGCGTGTTTATCCATTGCTCGTGAACACGTATAATAATCGTGAGCTTAAAACTTCTCGAAACTAACAGAATGACTCGGATTAACATAACATTTAAGAGACCTGTTAATCGAGAATACGAAACTGTCATGGCAGCCTCCATGAACTCAGTTTCACTGAAAAGTCGCAGTATTTTAACGATTTATCGCCAGCTCAAGATTTGTAGACGATGTCTGTCATCTACTTCAATACGGGTAATCCATGAGCATGTATATTTTGTTAGAATAGTAACTGCACCTCTTGTAGATAAATAGTTTACAAAATATATATACGCTTCTTGGCTGAAGGGGAATAACTCTTTTTATCGGCTACAGACAACAATAAGTAGACATCTTTTAGTTTTCATTGTGAGCTTAACCCCATTTCAAATGAAAATGGATGAACATACAACACACAAATGGCATGCAATTGAAAATTAAAATTTTGAAGATTTGTAACAATGACAGAACAAATTTTAATTTTAGCTAACTGGTTAGAGGGTAGACCCTTTATCCAAAACACATGTATGTAGACGGCATGATGTGTTTTCTTCATATATTCTAACTGATTGTAAGAAATGATTTATATATTAACTAGAATAAAGGACTGGTAATTGGGGTCTACAAAGATGACAAGAAAGACGATATCACCTTCACTCCGGGAGCTCAATATTTTGATAACCAAACTGGTGGAAAAATTAAACAGGCTCTGAAAGTGTAAGTGGCAGGTCTTAATGGCATCGGGTAATGATATAAATATTTTCAAATTTTCACTATCACTTTATAAACAACCAAACCAACTACACTGCATCATCCAATTTGAACCAAACCTACTAACAACTACCAACAACTACCAACAACTACCTAGTTTGCGATATCATCATCCGCTAGAAGCGAATGTCAACTTGTCATCTACCTACCTACCTACCTTTTCACTACAGTTACCTTAATTTTACACAAGAAAAACATAGATGCAACAAAGAATAATAATTCCACCTCAATTAATTATTTTAAAATCAGTTTGCACATTGATCTATTATTTAGAAAACTTCCCCAAACAAATGGATAGTCACTAGTTATACATGAATAATAGAGAAACATCGATGATCAAATCATTTGTAAATTTATCATTTCAATTATAGATGTGGTAAGAAATTAAAGACTGGTAAAAATCGTGTGTTATATGATATTAATGATGAGTATACTTCAGTAGCTGTTGTAAATCTCGGTAAACATGGTGTGAAATTTAACAAACATGAAGAGTTGGAGGAGGGAAAGGAGAATATACGAGCTGCAGTGGCAGGTAAAAGAACAATTTTATCCTGAATTATTATTTCAGTAGAAAGCAAAGATATTTGCAGAGCCTTTGAGCCCACCTTGACATGTATTTTTTTATCTGTTGTTTCATCCTAGAAATATTAAAACAGAACCTAAGAAAACATGGTTGTTACTCAGAGTTTCACACTTTGCGCTCTTCAGACAACTGACCTATTTCAGCCTGCGTCCTAACTCAAGTTGGACAAGTAGAACTTATTCTCATGTCTACACTTCCAGACGAGTTCGGAACATTCATTGTATGTATGAATGAATAGATGTAAAATATCTATTTTCAATGTAGGTGGTGTATCTGTATTGAGAGATGTAGGAGAGGAACAAGTTCAGGTTGATCCTTGTGGAGATGCCAGAGGTAAAAACAGCACTCATTTTGTAATTTGCTAATCAAAATTCCCATTATGGTGGGAACAATCATATAATATTAATTGCTTTTATTTGATACAGAACATTTTAAGAAATGATTCATATAGATTGTTAGTTGTTCTGATATTGCAATAGCCACTTCTATGTTGTGTTCTGGACTTTATCCTGAATTTTTTACATCTAGGCCCTCGATAAGATGCAATACAACTACTGTTGTGGGTGTATGTTACCTTGCCTGTTTGTTTGTTTTAGCGGCGGCAGAAGGAAGTGTATTAAAACTCTTCAGCTATGATGATTTAAAGGGGAAAGATAATAAAAAAGATAAAATGAAAGTAGATCTATATTCTGTAGAGGAGAATAGGTGAGAGTTATTATTATGATATCTTGTCTCAAATGGTTTACTCCTTTAAGAGAAATAGCTACCTGATTATACCAGACATGCATGCTTGCTATGTTGACTCTCTGAAAGTGAAGAAGATATGATAAACCTTTCAAAGTGATGTCCGATTGCCAAGACAATGAGCATGCCCTGCCATGCTAGTGATATCCTCTACAGTACTTAGTGTAGTAGAACTCCAATATTATTGGGTCTTTAATCTTGTTGCAGAACCAAATACTTAAGTGCTGACTGCTTAATGGAAATTGATTCCTGGTAATCATAAACACTACTAGGTTATTGAAATTATGAATTCGAGAATTGAATACAGGCTTATGGCAACTAACATGTTTTTGTTGAAATCTCATCATCAAACTATTTTCACCAATAATCAAAATATAATTTGTAATTAACAGTCAAAATAATTTACTTAAAGTGATAATCAGGAGAGCTGGAAGAAAGGAGTTATATTAGGAAACAGTCAGAACTTCGCACGGTTATTGATGGAGACACCAGCTAATAAAATGACACCCAGTATATTTGCCAATACTGTTCAAAATAGACTGGGAACTGAGAGTGGAGTTTCTGTCCAAATAAGGTATGTATATATGATAATTTTCATCTATTTAGCACTTTGAGTTCAATCTGCGAGGAATGTCTGTAGCACAGTGAGTAAGAGTGTTAGAATTTGATGGCATTTGCATGGTTATACTGGACAAATGGTGGGAAATCTTTCATGAATATTCCATTCGGCACAGCTGTAAACAGGATTATCTGGGAAAGTCCAATGACATGAGGTTTGGCCAAGGACCAGCTAGGAAGCAGGATCCTGCTAACCTTTGTTGTTATCTTTGTAAAGAATGATTGTATCTTTTTTGTACTTTTGTAGTAATCTATTAGCTATGGAGAAAAGTCTCATCCAATTTGTGGCCATAATTTCAGAGTCCGCCATTTTCCATTTCAGAGATAAATATTGGGCTGAATCTAAGAAAATGGATGCGTTTTTATCAGTCAGTCAAGGATCAGACCAACCCCCTGTTTTTCTAGAGATAGACTATAATGGAGGCAAGGAGGGGACAACACCTGTAGCCTTAGTTGGTAAAGGGGTTACATTTGATAGGTAAGGTGTCATTAGAAAAGGTAGAATAGTAGGAAGCAATTTAGATTGACGTCTGCCTCAAGACGAGAAAACTTGTGGATGCCACATTTTTGTGTATGTGTGTCTTTGATCACCTTTGTATTTGCCATGTTGTTTTCATTGTTAGATTTGAGTGCACAGGGTTTGAATCTTAGATAAGAAAATTCAAATTCCACAGTCTAAGCTTTAGATAGTTAAATTTGTCAGGTCTTTTTATTGGTCAATAAATATTATTCTGATTTTAGTGGGGGAATATCTATCAAGCCTTCTCAAGATATGGATAAAATGAGAGGAGATATGGGTGGGGCAGCATGTGTAGCAGGAACTCTGCTAGCTGCTGCCAAACTTAAATTACCCATTAATATCAAAGGTAGGTGATGTAAAGCATAATGTATATTCTATGAGGTATACCACTGCTATGTCAGTTTGTTGCTTATCAAGGTAACTTTATAAATCTGATTGAATGAAGTCAGCTGATAAGTTATTTAGAGTTCTTTCGAAATGGCGACCAATTATGTATTTTGAGTCTACCCACACCACCCTTTGCCTCATTCTAATGTGGATTACGATGAACTATTTCAAAATAAAGAATCTGAACATAATTATTAACATATTGTATACAGAATTCCGGGCCCTTAATTTTCTTTATATTTGTTGCTAGCGTTTATACCACTATGTGAGAATCTAATCAATGGAAGAGCAACGAAACCTGGTGATGTAGTTACTGCTATGAATGGAAAAACTATACAGGTTAGAAACATTCTGTAATAAACCACATTCAAAATATATTAGTGATGATATTGATATGATCCATCCATCCATCTTTTCATCCATCTTTTCATCCATCTTTTCATCCATCCATCCATCCATCCATCCATCCATCCATCCATCCATCCATCCTTTCATCCATCCATCCATCCATCCATCCATCCATCCATCCATCCATCCATCCATCCATCCATCCATCCATCCATCCATCCATCCATCCATCCATCCATCCATCCATCCATCCATCCATCCATCCATCCTTTCATCCATCCATCCATCCATCCATCCATCCTTTCATCCATCCATCCATCCATTCATCCATCCATCCACCCATCCCATCCCATCCCATCCCATCCCATCCCATCCCATCCATCCATCTATTCTTGCATCAATCTTTTCATTCATTCATTCATTCTTATTACTACATGTATTCTGTCAGTTCAAGTATGTGTCTCATTTCAGATTGATAATACTGATGCTGAAGGCAGGCTGATATTAGCTGATGCCCTGACATATGCTGATAGTTTTAATCCTAGTTTAATATTAGATATGGCTACTTTAACTGGTAGGGGTTAATAGTTTATTACAGATAACTGTTCTCTATCAATGATTACTGCTGCATGAGTTGTGCAGTCAAAGCTCTCATATCAGAACTGTACCACTTCTATTGATATTACCTATATCATATATTTGTGAATATAATGCGCACCTTTTTCATTTTCAAATAGATCTGGAAAAAATCTTGAAAAAATGTGCACTAAAAAATCAAGACATAATTAACACCATGATATCGAGTGTTAATACTACATTCTATGAAGACAAACAAACATTGTAATAATGACACATTGTAATACTAATAATAATATCTTTATTATAATAGCTTGTCATTATTTATTGATAGGTGCTGTAGATGTAGCTTTAGGTTCAGCCTGTACTGGTGTTTATACAGACTCTACACATCATTGGAACCTCCTACATCAGGTGATTATCTCCCTTTGTTTTCAATCCCTGAACACACCTAATATACTATTTGTTTAGAATATGCATAGGTCGAGATATATCTTTGGATTTTTAAAATCTGGTCTCGCTCGTCAGTGATGCAGATCAGAGGGCTTGTTGGTTCCCCAGATACATGTCTTTTGCTTTGGTAATGTTGATTGAACAGCAGTTCTTTGGTTCACCAGTTAATAGAGGCAGTCCTTATAGAAAAAGTTTACATTTTTTTCCAGGATTCAATTTTGCTCTAGTGATTGTTTTGGCTCAAAAATTTAATGGAACTCTTATTGTCTTTCTGTACAGGCTGGTGGTAAAACTGGAGATAGAGTATGGAGAATGCCATTATTTAAACACTACTCTAGCCAAGTTACAACTAGTGATTTAGCTGATGTCAATAATATAGGTAAATACAGCAGGTCTGGTGGATCCTGTACGGCTGCAGCTTTCTTAAAGGTAGGTTTAACATTCTGATGCCATAACTGGTTTAATAATCCTTGTGAAAGTATGAGTCATTAAGCAGACAGCTAGGGATGATCTTTGCTCGGTAGGGCTTTCTGAAGTGCTAAGGTTAGGCTAAAGCTCCCTTTTCTCAATTTCTACAACTGTGTTTTAGATTCAAAACAAAGCTAAGAATATCTTGACACTGTACATCAAGATTTTATCTTACCATTAAGCATAAGTGTAAATGGGAAATTTTAAACTTAGGTTACGTGAACACCCCAACACCATGTGGTAGGGAAAAGAGGTGGATGAACCTTTTCACTTGGAATTACAATGAAATAAGAGATGAGGGGGATAGAAATATTCATATTTTTGGTTAATTTTTTTCATTTGGGTACCTGGTACTAGCGACAAATTTGATAGTAAGATTTTTTGTGGAATTGGACCCTGCTCTCAGAATTAGTACTCAGAACAACCTATCCATCAATAACTGTTCAATCACTATATATACATACAAACTATTGTTATATTTACAGGAGTTTGTAGAAAATAAGAACTGGTTACATTTAGATATTGCTGGTGTCATGATGAATAAAGATGAAGTGGCCTATCTTGGGAAAGGAATGTCTGGTCGACCAACTAGAACTATTGTAGAATTTCTTTCTTTATTGTCACAAAATAAATAATCAAAATAGACATTTTTATCGACCAGTTTACTACGTCTATGATTTTGAGCTTTTCTTAAGAATGATCTTAGGCTGGACCTTTTAATTTTTACTATTCTGATGCAAACAGTTCTTTACTTGTGTCAGAAAAGTTGTTTGAAAAGGAAGTGGGCTAAAACCCCACCCTCAAACCCATATTTTTAATCAAATATCATAACAAGCATTCATTTGATATCTTAATGAACGCTTCCCTTAGATACATATTTGTATTTCATACAGAATGTCATCATTGAACAAATAGGATTTTAAGTATAGAGATAACATTTGTTTTGATATAATTGTTCATGTTGTACTATTAAAGATTTTATAAAAGATATGATATCAAACCCAATCAAAAAATATATTGTTTTTACAACCTCTTTCATCATCCAAACCAAACCACCCAACAATAAGGTTTCCCTAGCCATTCATAACACGATGAATCTTTCAACTTATCTTTTCCTGAAGGCTTTTATCCCTTCTAAAACAGACTTTTTGGATTATTTGGTCCATGAAGTAATTGTGGTCTGATTATTAATTCAATGAATTTCGTCAATTAGAGACTGGATGTAAAAGTCTAAATTTACCACATGGCTATCACGTGACATTTATATTGTTAGTGGATGGAATGGCATGGAATGGAGATATTTGCTTGAAATGTTAAGAATCTTTAATATTTAGCCGTAATTTATCAATGTTTCTACCCGTTTTCGAAAGTTTCAAGTGTAGAGGCAACTCACATCTGTTATTATGTACACAAAGTGAAACTTATATTGAGCGTTGTAATGGGAATTCAAACCGAAATTGAGAAAGTGAAAGTAGCACAAGTTTAGAAATTCAGGTCCAGTTCCTCAGGTAATCTCTGCTGCCTGTTGTCTTAGCAAGCAGACTTTTAAGAACACTACCTGAAAGCAAACTTATTGTCGCGATGTATGAAACTCCAAGATTTTAGAATTTCTCCCGATCTTTAACGGTTTGTAATACGAACTCCTTATTTGGTATTATCACCTAGATTTTTAACATCTGCTGTACGACTATCGTCTGCAGAGAGCTAAATTCTAATTGCCTTGCTATATACTTCTGCATACTAATTTGACCTACTAACTTCTTGAGACTTGATTTTCAATATGTTGACTTTAAGTGCAATTTTATCTCGGATAGTGTTTTACCCGTCCTTATCCTATAATATACTGTTGTCCAAGATATCGGTTCGGAAGTGGTACAACCGGATTGACGACACTGTGATCCTCGGAGCCATACCTATTAAAACTCTCGCAGACGACATTATTAAGACAGAAAATGTCGGAGGAATAATCTCGCTCAATGAAGAATATGAAATGAATTATGTAATGTACACTGAAGCCGAGTGGAAGGATAGGAATGTCGAACAGCTGAAGATACCCATCGTTGATTTTATTGGTACCCCCTCCGAGGCGGACATTACCAGAGGTTTGGACTTCATCGCGAAATATAAAGACTTAGACAGAAGTGTGTACGTCCATTGTAAAGCAGGAAGGACTCGTAGTACCACACTTGTGTCTTGTTATTTGATGAAGAAGCACAATTGGTCTCCGGAGAAAACGATTAGTATTGTTAGAGAAAAACGACCTCATATTGTCTTACGACAGCCTCATCATGATGCTTTAAAATCCTTTTATAAAACGTTAAATCCAGATGCATAATACAAAAGATCCGAAATCTGCATCAAGGAGTGAGCTCTCTCGTATATCTATAGAAAACTGCCATTGTAACGAGCTCTGTCTCCTGTTGGATACAAAGAGTTGTGAAACTGTGTGTGCATTCAAAATTCTCAGAGAGGAGAAAGTGTAGTTAGTTTGTTATCCCTTTCATATTTCGAAATATTTTGTTTGGAAAGGATCAGCGCATCTAATTTTTTTTTTAAATATTTGGTGAAGGACATCTTCCATTTGTATCAATTGTATTGGTAGATTGTTAATAGTGATTTATTAATAGATATGATCTCAGGGAATCCGACCGTTGTGTTCATCTATTTGTCGGACAATTAGCTATAGGATTCCTATGTTTGTTTTATTGAACTATTAAAGTTAGTTATTAAATTTTACAAAACATTTAGGCGTGGTCACTAGTACGAGTTCATCAGGACCGTCTATAGTAATATAGCATTAAAGCTATGTGGTCTGGGTCAATGGGTTTTTATGAGTTATCTCTTCAATACAAACCATAACAGCGTCGAGAAGACCAAGATACAGCGCATCAAGTTATGTGCGTCACATTCTCTTTGAAACGGTTTGTGGTCTGGCTCGGAAAGTTACTTCCCTTCATTGCAACCATTTATCTTTCAACATATAGTTTAGAAAGAGCCGATCCCCTTAGATAAGATTAAATTAAACTTAGCGCCTATGATGCCAATAGGTATACAATGATAAGGCAATATTGTGATTATGATATTGGTCGCTTCTCCAATAACAAATAACATTTATGTAAACTATTGTCTGTTAGATAAAATGTAGATATCTAGAAATTCCTCAGGAGAGGTCAAAAAATGAGAGGTGCCTCCGAGGCTAGGACAGAAAGGCCCCAGAAGGGGGAGGGAGCCACGGCCCTATGACATCCTCCATCCCCCCGCCCCCTAAATATGATAGTGCACAAATCATGGTCAAAGGTTGCAAGAGGTTAAGGGATCAAATGGTACGGTACTCCCCCTCATCTCCAGGTATTACAGGCCAATGATTAAAAAGCCTAGGGTTATTTAATATTATAATAAACAATATATGTATGTTGATAAACCTGTATAAAAACCTGCTGTAATTAACCTCATAATCTTGCTACGGTGAAAAACCACTTTGTTATTGTTTAATATATTGTTTATCATAAGTTATATATCTAACTAGTCTGACAAGCAATTGTCGACATGCCGTCCCATGTTCTTAAATATACAGGTATACATTATGTAGTCGGATGTTCTCCGTAAGGGCGTGTGTTAAGAGACTGGGGAACTTCGTTTCCAAACTCAACGAACAGTTGGCGGTGAAAACCACCAAAGTCCCGAAATTGAATGAAAAATGGTTGTAGAGAGCTTTTACTGTATCATCATTGAAACGTCGCCAGTTACATTTAAGTAATTGCTATCATTGTTTGATAACCGCGCATGATTTAATGTAAATGTTGCTACTATGTATCCAATCTTACTTTACGCTGCTATGAGATACTGGAAAAGTAAATCGTAATATCTCGTGGACACCTCCCATTGATTTTCATATTTTTGTGTAAGTTAGAAGTCAGTCAACTATTATATAGTTCTATTGTTGTTATCCTTCTTCATTTTTAATTTTATTTCCAACAAATACAACCGCGGCTACGCATAATAATGTCGACAAATTAAAGGCCACCTGTGGTTTAGACTATCAGTACTATTAATCCCCGCAATGTGAGACGTGGTCACAGTTATTTTAAGCCCGAGTGAAAAACCTTCTTCTTCTAAATAATCTTGCGACAGAAGGGAACTATAATATTATACAGCTTTACAAATCTTTGTCAAAGATTTTACATGTAATAATTGAAGACTATAGGACGACATATGTGATGTCATCGCCCTCGCTCGTGGTTGTAAACTCTCAACTATTATAGCACTGTCTGGTGCCCGTGCACTCTGTGGTAATATCCTTTCAGTTTTCTGTTATTAACAGACGAATTACGCTGAGGTTTTTCATTACGTGAGAAATGTTCAATACTGTATCGTGAATATTTCTCTTGGCGCTCCACTGTCGTTCTATTGCATGCTCTTTGAATACAATATTCAATATCACTGACACTTGGGCCTGAAACCCTCATCGCATTCTACTAACCATACAGAATAATAATAATCATAAACACTTTGATGTCATTTAGGACATGCGTAATGGTGTAGGAGTTCTTCACTGAAGTGTTACAAAGCGCACTTGAATAATCAGTTACGCCTAACGCATCTCTTTAAACACAACAATGTTCACTACGGCTACCCGCGGTTAAAAATGATTATTTTATTTTATTTACTAGACATAACTATAATAGTTTATAAACCACGCTTTCTTATTCACTGTACGTATTTATATTCTTCTGTTATAATTTATCTTCTACTATTATGGTTGGTGTAAAACACGAAATGTCCTCAATCCTACTTAAAATAGAAGAATGAGGAAAGAAGATGGAGTATTCAATGGAAATATGAACAACTTGAAAACATACATGCACAGACGTTGAATGTTGAAGGAAGTATTCTAAACTTCTTATGGGTGTAGGGCCACCAATTTACGCTTCTATTTATATCATTCCAATTTACCGTCATTCGTCTAGGCTTCCTGAAATTATAGACACTGTAAATGACGTCACTATCTCAAAAGCTACTAACAAATATTATAGCAGCTTTTCCGATAGTGACGTATAAATGCTTAGTTTTTGTGGAATTGATAGACTCTCAAACGCCTGTGAATGGTGCTAACCGATGCTATCAGTGTCTCCAGTACACATATAATTTTAGATAACCTCTTTACAATCCCTTTAATAGGCCTACATCGGACATTACAGGGGGAGTTCGAGGGTATAGAGGCATATTAGACCAACCGCCTTTACACTATGTGTAACGACTGACTCTCTACCCTCTACTATCTGTCTGAGTGGATGGTTAACTCTAAAGAATGTCATACAGATAGCATATAGGGTGTGCAGCTCAATATCCACATTTTATAAATGTTAAAAAGTCGCCACTGGAGAATGTAACGAATTTACCTGCTGAATTGCATTTTGAAATAGTGTTCTCTAGTAATGATATATTAGCGAATTTCATACCGTGACCACAGGCATATGTAAAGTTTAATTCAGGGTAAAATAAAGATAAACGACAGAGTTACATTCCATTTTGAATAGTGATCGGAAACATTGCTAAATCCGGTTTTGCTACATCAGAAATCCATTGTAGTGTTTTCGGTTAACGAGGAAATATTGTTAATTTGTGATGTGTTCATGCTAGAGAAGTTTACTTCAAGGCATTAATTTGTAAGAAAACATAAAAAATTTGAAAAAGACCAGACGAATAGTTGCTTGATTTATTTATCCTATCAATAAAAGCTTTATTCATCAGAGTTCCTGTTCGGACTTTTTAAAACTAACGAAAGCACTGGCATTGGAATTGGTTATTTACTTATATTTTGATACATTCCACACAGGCACCCTACAGTTTTAGTTAAATTAAAAAAGTGAAAAGTTACGAAGCGTGTAGAGTAATAAATTGCGTTTGGTTAATTCTAGTTTTACTTCGAGGCAATTTTTTTTCTTCTTTACAATCGGGGTAATCCCATACAGTGAAATGTACTGAATGTATTGTACGCGGATTATCACGAGCTAGTTGGAACGTTACAAGTGACGAGAATGGATCATAGAGCCTTTTCTAAACCATAACCATAACTGGTTTCAGATTGTTTCTGTTATATATAGATTATTTATATAGTTATTTCAAAAAGTGTAAATCAAAATGGCGATACAGAAATTAATAATTGTCATAAATTTGTTAAATTTGTTAAATTTTGTGTTCAGCAACGAAGCTGTTTGCGGTTTCACGCACAACGACTGTTCATATGAAATCAAACTAGTGCCTGTGGGAAATTGTCGCTATGGTGATCAGATAATGATGGACAAGCAGATGGACAGTGCGGATTATTCTTCCAAAATGAACATGATGGAACGAACCTTTTCCGATGTCCGAGTGGATCATGAGAAACGATTGGACGGTTTGGAGAAATCCGTAAGAGAATTACTCGGACTTGACGAGAATTCCAGTCCCATTGATCACGTGTTCAATTCCAGAGGGAAATTCCAGAATCAGGATAATAAGGAAATTGTGTCTAGATTACACGAGGAATATACAAATCTCAGGATCGACATCAAACGAAAAAATGCCCGAATTATACAGGCAGAGATAAAATTTAACGAAACGAATAAGGAATTAAAACAGGCCCAGTTGGACCTGTTTGACACAAACCAAGAACTTCTGGATGCCGAGAATAAAATCGCCTACATGCAGAGAGAAATGATGATATTACGGAATCAACTGAAGGACAAGACTTATCGATTGGATGCTTCTGGCAAGAAAGCGTCAGATTGTGAAGGTAAGCGCACAGTAACTAGGTGTTTTAGTCTACACTTTCAATGTTAATTTCCAGAATCTCACAAACACCGTCAAACAGAGCCAAAAACTGTAGAAGTAGTGGAGGGTTTTCTTCCACATTCAAATGCTTTTGATTAGTCATAACATATGCTTTCAAACACAATTTCCCGAATCACCCAAACATCACCAAAATAAAAGAGAGCCCAAGGTCCTGATTGGCGGTTTTCCTTAGCATTGGTTCCACATTCAAATTTGATATGCCCACAAGCTTTTTAAAATAAGATTCTATATCTTACAAAGAATTTATTTGAATTTTTTATCAAAAATAGATTTAAGGATATTTATATATTTCGTTTCCTTGTAGGTAAAACTGGATCAATGCAGACACAATTGTTCGAGTTGGTGAGGTCTGAAGCCACAATAAAAGAAGATTTAGAAACTTGCTATTTGGAGAAAAATATGACGGAGAAAGAATTACAGGAGACAAAACGCCGACATGGTCATCTGAAGAGACGACATCATGATCAGAAGGGCATTCTCAAGATCAGAGAGAACGAACTCATCAATTGCTACAACGGTAAGAAATAGTTTGATATTTTAGTTCCATGAAGTCCTGCATGGAAAACCAACAAATACGAATGTTATAAATTGATTTGATTGTTGTGTCCGCGTAACGGGTCGCTCTGTCGCTTCTTGACGTGCTGGATCAATAAATGTTGCCTCACTGCGCATTGGACGGCTTTGCCCGTCTTTATTAAACCAAAAAAGGAACTGGCTGGTAGAACAAATCCCACCACATTTCATTTCATTTCCATATGTTTACAGCAATTAGTCATACCACATGTGCAATATAAGCGGATTCATTAATACATTTTATGATTCCAAAATATTTGCGGTAATTAGTCAAACCATCATAGCCAACCTTAGAATCTGAAGAATCATATTAACTTTCGATGGTTACCTTTCATACCTTTTCGTTAATGTGCGCTTTAATATTTTGTTAACGGTTTTTATATATATTTAACTGTTTGTGTTGGATGTTTGCGGTAATTAGACAAACCATGATGGCCAGCGTTAGAATCTGAAGAATGATATTAATTTTCATTGATTGTTCTCTTATTACAAATAACCAACAGCCATCCAACATATATTTACATTAATATGTTTTCCTATTGAATTATTGGCATTTGGTCTTGTTGATGGGTTGACCTTTATAGCCGAGATGTGGTACCTTTACTCAAACATATTGCGGTTTATAAACATGAGGCATTAACCTGTTGGGCAAATTATTTTTATTCGGCATGTTTAGGTTTTTACGACATGTATATTTTTTATGTAAAGATTAAAAAATATGTTTCCAAAAAAAACAAAAACAGGAATGTCCACGATACATAACTGTATTTAGTATTTTTTTACTACAAACAACTTACTGGTCAGGATTGCTTAAAATTAGCCGCTGACTTGGTTGTTTCTATGAAAACTTGAAAACGTCGCGTTTCCAAACACAAATGTTCGTGATACATGAAATAACAAAAATTTAGAAATAAAACCTCCATAGTCCATCAGATATATGATTAAAATATGCCTTTTCAGATTTCTGATTTACAGATTTTGTCTGGCTTTAGCGAATGATTTATCCTCCAAATAGCTATATGTACCGGTGTATAAGATAATAAATTTTATATTTAAAAATTCCAAAGTATACATGAATGATTTCTTTCAAGTACCGAATTACTGGAGGGGAATATCTTTCATATACAGCAGAAACTGATAAAATGTTGTGTTTATATCGTCATGATAATCTAAAAAAAAAACTTATTCATTATATAACAAGCATTCATTTCTAAATCTTAAACTTAGAATTTGGGAAATCGATTGTGTCGGGTTCGAAGGGTCTTGTCAGAGAGACCAGGTTTGTCTAATTTGAATTTCTATTCTTCTTTGTTAAGTTTTTTGTGTCGGTTACGCACCGATCCATTCTAGATTTGTAATTCAACTTGTGTTGAAGGTAATGGATATTTTTTGTAGCAAGGTATTGTGTAACTTTCTCGATATTTTCAATGAAAAGGTATAGTCAGTATTATGTTGCGTGCTATACACTGTTGTTTGAAAGCCTTTGACAGAAAGATCTAGATCTTCGCTTGTATTTTTTGTCAATTTGTCAATGTAACTTTTTGGATTCGTGTCCGTACATTCTACAATCGGAATTTGATTGGTCTTGTCCTTGAATATCCCCTTTTCATTGGTTGAAAATCAAAGATGGCATCCAATCTTGAGTGCGGTTGTCATTCTAAATCACGAGAGTTAATTCTTTTCGATTGCTGTTTGATAATTGTTAGACCTTTTGTACGTCACTCTTTCTTTGAAATGTAATACATAAAAGGTCTGCTTGTTATCTATAGTTATATACCGTTTCTTCTATACCCTTCAATTGACATTAAAACTGTAATTGCGGTTATCTTTTAAACATTAAACACCTATTTGGATTTGAACATATTGAATACATGAAATTCCAGGTTTATTCGTTGTATATTCCCAGATCCCAAGTAGTACGTGGTAATATAAGAATGGCGTGCAACACAAAATAGACGGGGATTTGAGGAGAGAGTACTGGCCTGGTTGGTCCTCTCTCATTCTCAGCTTACACCTATATGAACGTTTGTACTAAAGATTATGCCAATTGAAAACCTATTATTCTGGGTTTTTATGGATTTGTTAACCTTTGACTTCCTTGATAGAAGGTCGGTTTGGGTTTCTGTCCACCCAACAATCACCCCAATCGTTTAGTTCAAATGTCATTTTCAAAAGTCACATCGTCCCTAATGACAATTTCAAAGTTCAACAATCAACTATTTGAAAATAGCTTTGATTTCAAAATGTTAGAAGTTTCAAACTCTGCTGAAACACAAAAGGTAGAGGATATGTTGATTTAAAAAACTCTTTTATGAAACAAATTACAGAAATCAAAATCTATAACAAATGACACATATATATTGATGGAACTCATATTCTATTTCATTTTCGCCCATTATAGCGTACAGTATATTATGTTATTGTTATTAATATCTATCTTTCTTTTTTTAAATTTTATAAACATAACGTAACCTTTAAAAAAACGTGCATTATATCTGACATCTCTTGTAAACTCGTAGAAAAACAGGTCACACTTATTGTCATTTTTCATTAAATCACGTTAATGTTATCTCGGAATGATCCTAGTGACAATGCTAACACACCCGCCGCATGGTTGTTGGATATCACGGTGTTCAATTCAAGAACGATATTGGTGTTTCTATCGGATTCGTCTCTCATTGAAACAAACATTAAGGTATGTATCTGAGCAAACGACGATCGATCTTGATATATTTCCAGTTTATATTACTAACACCCTTGCATGCTTTACTGGTCAATACCGGATGTGGCTGCCCTTGTTTCAGATTCAGATTGGACTCGGGATATCTTCTGATAATCATACGGGTCGCCAACCGACAGATCAGAAGGAAGCATCTCTTAACCCGAGGAAGACATTAATAAAATACGTTTAAAAAACACCCAGGTTTTTATATGTTTATATGACAATACGACTTATCATTGTGAAGTATTTAGATAAAAAACATGTATAAATAATGATAATGATAACCTTATCTTACTTTCCCTCATATATATTAAACATATCAGCCTTTCATTCATTTGTCCGCTGGTAAAAAACAGTTTACATAACCCCCTTGTTCGTTGGTTGTTTGATGACAAACTTCAGCTGAATTTACAGTGTGTGTTATCTGCATCTATATATTTTAGAGAGGGAAAGTGCTCCCCTCCTCCAGCACTATATTTTCGACAATGATAGATATCGTCACACTTTCTGACCATTTGTGGACAATTTATATAGGAACCACAGCACCGCGGAAGGTCTGCAACATCGACACGTCTCTACGAGATGTGACCAATGATCTACTCCAGGTGCAAAAAAAATGGCTGACCTATTCAAAGAATGCGAGGTCATATGGACAGTCTGTAACTGTTCATATCGCCTGATCACTTACTTGCTGAGTAGATGCAAATTAAATTGGTGCCTTGGCAAGCATACTTGTTATGCACACCCACATCGTAATCAAATTATGCAAAATGAACAGTATCTTGTAATTATATACACGAATAATGTGTGTTTATAGAAAATTTGTAATTTACACAATTAGCACTACATGGTTCCATTTCCTCGCGTCATTCTAGACATACCAAACAAAAGTAACCTTTTAACTTAAATACTTGACATACAATAAATAAGTTACTAACATCAACTCATTGTGGTGGTTCAAATATCGTCGAAATCTACGGCACGCACATAACAATTAGGCGTGGATGCACCATCTTCACAATATTCCGATCTTTTTTTATGCCTTGATTGCATTACCAATCTTTTGGTATCACGGAATGTAACGATTTGATTGGATTCACCGAATACAGCCAATCAGAGCCATCGACAGAAAGTCTGTAAACCTTATGGCTGTTACAGACTGTATTAGATAGCGTACTACCCAATCAAATCACTGCATTTACAAACATCCGCGATACAAGAATAGTAGCTACTGCAGTCAGGTAGTAGGACGGAGTTCATAAGAGCTTGACATTGTGAAGATGATGCTTTTGGTGCATTCAACCATCTTTTAAACTTGCATTATAAGCCTTCTTGAATATTAGCTCGTCCAACGATACACCGCAATGTCATCATGACAAAAAACACTTATCGTCATTAAAATCATTTAAGTATAAAATTATACTTGCTATGCTCGTGATATTTGTTATAGATGAACGCATTTTTATTCATAAAAAACAGGTCTGTTATTCATCTGCTTTACATGCACAACAACACGATCATCATAAAATTAGTTGAAAATAAGCTTTTATTATCAGAACAATAATAAGACATAATATAAGCTTGAAATATCCTTTCATATCAGACATTTATAAAGAAATATGATGAGAAACAGGTGCGTGTACTTAGAAATCTGGAGGACACTTGAAAAAAAAACATCTGTATGAAATTATCACTTGTACGTCTGCATATTTCGATATGGACTTTTCTTGTATTATTTCAAAAATTGTGAGTATATAGCCAAACACTTATACATGAATGCAGCCTTATATTTAGTCTATCTATCCTGTTCATGAATGGGGATTAAGGGCTTCGGAAAACAAGGTTCAAAATGTTACCCTGTTTCTACAGTTGCTAATTTGGTCCAGTGAAGGATCATTTTTCTATCGTTACGGTGATTTGTATCTGTATCAGAGATGCTTATAGCTTCGCTTTGCCCCATTCCAATTTTCCAATTAACCTCCTAGCAATTGGTCAGAATATGATGACACTTACAAACGCCATTTGGTTTGGATGGTTTGTGTCATACCATAATCTGGTCAAGTTTGGCAATTTCAAATTCCCAGATGATGGAATTTAAATCCGAAACACTTGCTGATATAATATGATCAGCCTCGTCAAATAAAACACTTTAATCGCATTTTAATTGCATATGTGCACTATAGAGGCATTGAGCTGAAACCATTCTGTTTTTCAGAAACACGTTTTAGTGCCAATGTTTCTCGTGAAAGGATGTTTTGCACGATGAGTTAACATCATTTGTCTGAAATTTTTAATCAGTTGATTACTAAATCAACTCGTTTGTACAAAACTTCTTTAACCGACGAAAACAAAATGTTTTAATTGCGGGCGATAAATCGAGATAATTATCAGAGGGTTGAAAAGAAAAAAAGAGTTAAACGGTGTTGACCTTGCCAAGATTCTTGACCTTGAAATGATAAAGATATTTAATATGTGAGGAAATTTCAACAACTGTTTTTAAGACAATCTTTCAAGTCTCTTAATTAATTTAGGTTCATTTAAAGATGCGTTACTATCCACGACAAACACTAGTATTTTAACTAATGTTGGTATTTTTTGAAGTTTCACTCAATCACAATTTCTACAGCAAGAAATATAACTAATGGTCACAGCTTCCACACTCTTTCGTTTGCTTTGTTGTACACTTGTTAGCACTTTATCATCATATCTGTTTCATCATCTGTAGAAGTTGTAAGACTGTCAGACATAAAGATCATTTAATAGGTGTCTGTACCTATTTTTGTTTTATCATTTAATTAATTTGATTGAAAGGAAGCACCTGAGGTTTCAAATTCAAATTAATGGTAGCTTTGATGGGATTACTAGTAGATTTAGACGTTACACAATTTAATAGTAAGTTTTCAACTTATCTGATCAGATAGACCTGTTATCTATCAACTTATGTGGTATACCACACTCTTCAGTTTTACTGCCTTCAGAGCACTGTTTAGGAATGTTCCTTTAATTGCATGTGGTGAATGACTTTAAAATTGCCATCACTTCAGAAAATGTTTTGATTCAGTTACTGGTCCTGAAAGACAACATCTTACACCTTATCATGCCAGTGAAGTTTCTCAAGTACAAGTTCATTTCAGTTCGATTATTTTATTGACATGTATATCGAAATAACATATGCACGTTATCTGAACTATTTCAAGTATCAAGCTCGACATTAAAGGAGCTAACATACAGAGAAATCATCTAAGAAAATGGTATAAAAAGATTGGATGAAAGTAGAAAGTATTCTCAGATTAAGAATGTTTCTGGATTAACTGTTCATGTTTGCTTTTGTGCCAAGGTGCTTGCTAGATAGACACGATATTCCCGGTTTGAATGGGGACTGTCTGATTCGGCTGTTCCTCCAATCAAAATTACTTTGTGTTTTGTCGTATCTCTACAACTGACAAGGCGGGAGCGTTGTTTCGATGGATCAAGATACCATTTAATATACCATAACGTTTATCAGGGAGAGACCCTTTAAGTTGATCAAGTACTGTATGAGAAAATATCTGACTTCGTATTGTCACCACCAACGTTCGTTAAAATAGTGTACATAGTACATCAATAATTAGTCAACTGTAGTCAAGTTCTAGCGTGTCATATTTTAAAAACTATTATTTAGCTAATAACTGAAATAGCTTTTTATCTAAGAGACGGTGCTCGAGAGTATGTTTCATTACCAGAGTCTTGCCTCCATCATGTTATAAGGTTAGACAAAAGTATACAGCTTCACAGCTTTACAGCTGGAAAATTGGTTTGTATGATTTTCATACGTTTTGCTCCAAAATAAGTGTCAGAACGCACCATTAACATGGTTGTTAGGTAGTTAGTTGGAAGTTAACGTTCGCTACCAGGAGATGCTGATATCACAAACTAGGTAGTTGTTGGTATTCGTAGTAGTTGGTAGTTGGATTAGTTCAAATGGGATGATTCTGTGCTGTTGGTTTATTAGCACTTAGTCAATCTTTCCCCTATTTGTACCCCGGTTTCGGGAGGCTGGCGCCGCCACTGATGAGGTGTTCTAAGTACATAATTATACCATGTCTCGCCAATACGACTTATCTCTATACAATTGTTCCCGCTATCAAAAACTTTAAACTAAAAAATGTAATCATTAACATTGCTATAGCAATAAATGAGTTCAGACGATTGAGATAAATTTGTATCTTGTATGTTTTATTGTAATATGCGCTTCTCTCTGTATTTCTATCTTGGTTTATAAAAACATTTGCATATCTTTCATTATATATTCTACTTTCATTTTCTTTCTGAGATTTATCACAGTTTGCAGCCAAATACCTTCTAAATATATCGGTGAATATTACAATGGTTTTAACATGCATTGCATCGTGCAACATGTTTGATCTTTTTGACCCGAGAGGTTGATGAGGACAGACACCGCTACACAACAGATTGTCGTGTGATAATCGAAGTTAACGATTTAAAAGAAATTAGAAACCTGAATGAATTAATTATTGTATTATAAAATCATAACAGGATGATTATAACGCCATTGTTTAGATTTTATCTCTGGAGGGAGAGGGAGAGGAGCCCCCCCCTCCCCTCTTCAACCCTTGCTGTCCCGTCCTTCCCAATCGATATCAGCTGAGTCACGATATAATGGTCACGAGGAATTCAACACTACTCACGGTTGATATTTTCTAGAAAAAATGTCATTTAGAACACGAGTATAACAAATATTTTGATGTTTGAAGATTTATATTCTATTATTCTACACTGGGTAATGTTACAATGTTGTCACCTGATATTTACCTTCAACTCAATGTATTTGAGGGGATTTAATTAGAGTCGAGTTACTGTTTGAGTGACGGGGGGCTGGGGCAATATATCATAGCTAATTACTCGACTCAATGGCCTTATTTACCCCTACTTACTAATAGATGTAACTGATAACACCAACTTGTTTCGCTGAATTTCACCCCAGGTATTTCAAGGTATACTTTCCAAAACACACTGATCAAAAACAAAGACACTCACACAAATAGTTTTCGTTGAAAGGGCAGAGATAAAGAGAACAGGGGCCTTATTCTTGAAAACTTAACTTAAGATGATTTTAGTGTTCAAGTCATCTAAAATTGATTTTAAATTTAGTTTACTGTATTTCTCGAAATCTAGATTCTATTTAAGTTAAGTTTTAGAAAAATAAGGCTCCTGGGCGAAAGGCGTCTTCTTTTGATGATGTTAAGTTCTCAGATGTCTTTATTTGTCATAAAAAAAATGAGGTCCCTGTCGTTTTGAATATTGGCTGACGTTTGATGTATCGAAACATGACAATCAAACATGCTGATCGCCTCGCTATCCCATTTGCCAAGTACTAAATAGGACGACACCTTCATCTGAATCAGTTATTAAGTATCTGTATTAAATTAATACTAGCATTCAAAACGAGAGAAGGTAACATAAGGATCAAATCGGATTGTCGTCTATTATGATTAAGTGCTCTGGGCTTGAACTCATCTTTAAGTAACAAATCAAGTGTCACGACCAGTGCCTTCCGAAGAAATCTTGAAGGTGACCCTCACTTCACCAACACTGTTCTTTTTGAATAACAATAATGTTGTTTTCTTTTAATTTCAGCAAAAACGGAAACATTCTGTGGTTTTGAAGATCCTAATTTATGTGGGTTCACACAGATCAATGGTACAGTGGAAGATTTCTTTGATTGGACTCGAGGTCAAGGATCGACGCCTTCAGCCAATACTGGACCAACTAAAGATCACACGTGTAACAGTGAGAAAGGTAGGTACGCTCTGGCACTCGAAATAGTACCATACTACCGATATAAATCATTCAAGAATACATTACAGTACAGCACTGACTGAAGAAGCTTCAATATCTTTTGACAAAGGATATAGTACCAATGTCGTTAATGAACCCACTCCTTTCCAAATGACCATACCATCAATACTAGTGCATTCCAGAATACCCGAACAGCTAGTCTGTTAGGTCATACTAGATTCTGGCAATATCTGAACCTGTAGAAGCTTGTGACTCTTGATTCCATCCGATCTGGTCTACTTTCTGTTAGGACAACTCCAATTTCTGATGGAAGCCCCTTATTTTAAGAGCTAAAAATGCAGCTCGATTTCATGACATGTTACCATCAGCATTAAGGCATCCCAGACAATCTTCCAGTGTTGTTGGTGCTTATAGCCTAAATCAAGCTTATACATACCTACCCGAAAAAAAAAAACAGAGAAGAACACCTAGTGAATAAAACAGATATTTTACACTCTATGGCTTGAATTTATTAAAAAGAAATGTTACAAAACCTCAGTATGTCCTCTTAAAGTCACAAAGGCCTTAACACCCTGAAAAATGCCCTTTATTTCGGTTGAATGGATGATAATTTTTGAATAAATGAATCGTAAAATCCAATTCAATCTTTTCTAAACGGGTTATTTCAATATCCATCTCATATAAGAGGATCACACAATCACAAAAATGTTTCCTTTTAGTTTGTTTTTCAATGAATTTCGAAAGGTTCATATTTTGCGATATCAGGTCTCACGTTTGGTCCAATCAACACGGCGACTGAATTTAGCACCTGTTTCATGCTTAATGAATAACACACTAAACTATCTGATGCAGTGATTTACATTTGGTTGTGTTGAATGACCTTTCATACATTTCTACTTTTTCAAAGTTATCGTCTAGACCATCTAAAACAAATTGTGGTTTTAAATAAACAAATTGTCGTCATATTTAATGGGGCAATACTTGCACTGATACAGGAATGACCTCGTCGACCTGAATCGTCGTTTTTGGGTTAACATCTTTGCTAAAATATCGAAAGATTAAGACGTAAAGTTTCTAATACATTTTTCATTCTTTTAACCACCAAACAATAATATTGTAGATTCTTGTAGATATTGAACATTTGAAAATGGAAAGCAATCAACTTTCGTAACATCTTGTTAAGAGGATCTTGTAAATGACTTCTTTTTTTTTAATTTTCAGGTCACTTTATGTATATAGAAGCCTCGGCTAAAGGAAAAGGGAATAATGCTATAATGTTTTCACCATTGTATCGTGGGTTGACTGAACAGTGTGTCGAGTTCTACTATCATATGAATGGCCGCCATGTTGGTACTCTTAATGTGTATGCAAGGGTAAGATTTTCTGCTTTGCATTCTTTATTTCGCTTTTCAGTGCTTCTTTATGGGTATACCAACTGGCTATGCAAGAACTAGATACAGCGGTTAATTTTGTTCAGAATGTCCTTCCATTCGTTTCTGCACTTGCATGATTCATTTTTGATAGTTTGAAAGTTTACTATTTATATTGTGTATCAAGAAAAGAATTAGCTTACGAATAGTCAACCGGAAGTTCAGATACTATTCATGCAAGGAACCGGAAGTAGGCTTAGGACCAAATTGCCAGATTGTAATTTTTTAATTGATTTAATTATGAATCCCACCTTTGTGTTTCAGGCCCGTGGTGCTGAGTTAGATTCTGTATGGAGAGCTTTTGGTAACCAAGGTGATGTTTGGTCGTTTGCTCGTCTTGGTATTCCTAAAGAACTGGCTAGAGCTGGTTATCAGGTATGGATATTTTAAGCAATTGGAAAATATTTTAGCTCGACAACTTCCGCTCAGACGACACAGATGAACTTGGTAGGGTCAGAGTTGTCGGGCTACAAAATAGATTTAACCTTTAAAATGGATTTGACGATTACAAAATCACGAGCTGTCAAGAATGGTAGTGGGATTCTGGCGCTTTTTTTTGTTGATAGACAATATCACCGTATCAGAAAAAAACTTTATTGAATCTCTTTCAAACATCTAAAACTGTTATTTTTTATTTTTTTTTTTTTTGCAGATTGCGTTTGAAGGAATCACAGAAAGTGGTTACCAGGGTGATATTTCAATTGATGACGTCAGTGTGACGGATGCAGGATGTCCCATAGACTCGGGTGTCACGCCTGTTAAAGTGTCGCTTGATTCAGATGAACTGATAAAACTCGGTAAAAATTTCGCTCGCAGTCTGAAACGAAAGAAGTTGAAAAGAGTCAAAAATAAAAAGTCGTCAGGCGAGAATGAGGAATAAGGCAGTTGACTGTATTTATACAAAATGGCACTTTTTATGACAAATTAATATCAAGTCAAATTTAGTTTAGTTTATTACAAGAAACGAAACGTTTTTAGACTGTACAGTGAATTATTGAATGTCTCTTACTGGTGAAGGCATTAAACTGGAAATGGACATGGATACACCGTATCTGTGTGGATCGGTTTTTTTGTCACTGACAGAGTGGCCATTAAGCCCAAGCAGGAAAATAACGCAGCATAAGAATGGTATTGAACTAAAATTCAGTAGACTACAATGTCATATAACAATGCAAATAACGTAGAAGCGCTGTATATGTTAAGTGAGTGACAAAATAGGCATAGACACATCGAACACGTTTCAAAATACTATATAGCCCTGTATTTATATTTCTGGAAAATGGCAGTGTCTCTTTATATCATCATAGAGCATTATTCATGATTATTTTTGCGGTCAATCTGACGACAACACACTTGGATTACGTCAGGACTCTGCGGGTAATTTTAGTTTTACGGTTGGATGAAGCTGGTAAATGTTTTTCAGTCCCAGACCTTGACACAGATATTTTTAAGTAAATCTATTGCTTTTCTATGGTCGTCATTCATCTTTATATAATGTTTATAGGGCTGACTCTCTCATGCCACGTGTGTTGACCATAATTGTTCTTGTCACAGATAGGGAACAATATGTTAAAGATATTTAGGTAAATCGTTGCTTTTGAATGCTTGTCATTCATCTTGATAGAGTAGTTTTAGAGCAGACTCCTCAGGCGACGTTTGTTGACAAGGCAGAAACGAGCGTATATAGAATATTTTCATATTTAACCAGTATAGGATATGTACATATTTTCTACCGAAGAATGATACATTTAATATACCCCAACCCTGGTCATTCTGCTCAGCCAGGGCACAGTGGCGCTTCTAGGAAACATCAGCCGAGCAGGGACCTCAAAATTTTCCAGGGGGGCACAGGTCTTTTTTTCCCTATGTAAAAAATTGAAAGGGTGTAGGGCGCAGAAACGCCACTATCACGGCAGGATTTTTCTCCAATAACCCAAATCTGTTTGTATATTATGTAAACTTGTTCTCTCATTATGCTTGTAGATTAAAAAGTTTATAAACAAATTAATCGTATTGATTTATTGTCCTACTTGTCTGCACCATGTGGGCTAATGAAGACGGGAAAATCGGTTAAAGAGACGTAACACTTGTGTAAACATGTAATAATGACTAAGCATGTTTATATTACTTGTGGTTTGGGCTGAAGACAGTCCACGGGTTTTGCTTTTGGATTCTAAGCTGTTTATTAAAATAATTGCGTTTTGAAAGCATCCAGTCTTTCAAGCCACAACCTATATAGATATTTCGGATAATAGTCACAGCCCTCAATCATTGAGACTGGTTAATCGGGAGAGTTATGAAGCTAATTCAAAATGGCCGATAGCTTCGATAGAAGTTTGAAAAGTGAAAAATGTGGCTGTTATGGGGATTGTAAAGACATAAAAAGACTTCCAACTCATGTCATTATCCAGAGGCAGCTTCAAGATGTCATCAAATCTCAAGCAGAAATGTTGAATCATCTGGACGAAAGTGTAAGTTCGTTGCTCTACTTTTACATTGTTTGTGTTTTGATAATCGAGACTACATCAGCACATTCTTTTTGGCTCGATTTGGATTACTGTCACGTCCTATTCTTTTGAGTCCAAAGTTATGTTCGAAAATCTCTACAAATTTACTACTAATTAGGTCTACGTCTCCGAATACGTCTACGGAATGACTGTTTAAATTTATTCAAGTAGGTTTTAGTTTAAATCAAGATATATCAAAGTAAATGATACCGGGTACCCATTTTCTGTAGATACAACAACAGAATTCACAGCTAGAAGAAACCTACATAGCCAGAGAGACAGAGAAAAATAAACTAAATGTTTTAAAGGTATTTAGTGGTGCTAGATATTCGATATCTCAAAATCCTTATTACAAAACATTTGCACAGTGTATGTGCTTTAACACAAGCAAGCATTCTAAATATCAGTTTAATATCTGTATACTGATCTAAAATACATTTGTTTTATAGAAACCCCTTCCGATCTATGAAACTATACTGTACTAAAATGGCACAAAGTATGTTAAAAGAAACCAAAAACCTCCCAAAAAAGTTTTTATATATGTTTTTTTTAGAAAAGTATAGAAGACCGATATATTCTAAAAGAAGATTTTATTGTTGTTGACTCGGCGTTAAAGGTAGGGTACAGCCAATAACTAATTGTTTATCAATGCTAAATGGAGTTATGCCCCTTCCCATGTTCAAACTGCCGTTCTTTGGATGTAGCATGATGTAAATCTTACAGAAAATAATTGATAAAAATATATTCCGTTGGTTTTAGTTACGGTAATGCCCAGTGACCTTTACTTGATCTTTAGTTAGTACTAATAGATTTCTTCTCAGATTATCGTTCATTCCAAACATGATTTATAATTTCTTCTTTATGCTGTAACGGCCCATGTTTCTTTCTTTTTGTAGGAAGAGAGATTCGAACACAATAAAACGAAACATAAATTAAAAGAAGTAACGGATAAATTAGATTTTTCTCTGGGAGAAATTGAAATTTTAACAAAACAGCTGGAAAGAGAGAAGGCTTCGTTCGATTCTTCGTAAGTAGTGTAGCAACAGGACGTAAACCTCCATTTCGTTTAGACATATTTTTCTAAGAAAATGATCAGTAGAAATTGTTATATATAATGTTCTGGTATTTTAAACATTGCTTAGAACTTACCCAATCAGCATTGGCTAAATTTTCTATTAAGTGAATAGTATTTCGTTAAGAATTTCTCCATCACATGATATTTGATTGACCGCGTTAGGTTCTAGGAATTTATTATAGCAATTATAGTCACCATAAAAACTCAACTTAACCATTGTATATTTCAGATACAAGTCTATCAAAAATAAACTGAGTCAATCAAATGACTATAATAGAGAATTAGAGAAGAAACTCACAGGTTTGTTATAGCCTTCTTCATTTCTTTTTATGAAGTGTATACGAACTTCGTCTAAAATAGCTTGACATTGTGAAGAGTCGGGGTTCGTAATAGCTTGACATTGTGAAGAGTCGGTGTTCGTAATAGCTTGACATTGTGAAGAGTTGGGGTTCGTAATAGCTTGACATTGTGAAGAGTCGGTGTTCGTAATAGCTTGACATTGTGAAGAGTCGGTGTTCGTAATAGCTTGACATTGTGAAGAGTCGGTGTTCGTAATAGCTTGACATTGTGAAGAGTTGGTGTTCGTAATAGCTTGACATTGTGAAGAGTTGAGGTTCATAATAGCTTGACATTGTGAAGACTCGGTGTTCGTAATAGCTTGACATTGTGAAGAGTCGGTGTTCGTAATAGCTTGACACTGTGAAGAGTTGAGGTTCATAATAGCTTGACATTGTGAAGAGTCGGTGTTCGTAATAGCTTGACACTGTGAAGAGTCGGTGTTCGTAATAGCTTCACATTCCGAAGATGTAACAAACTGTATCATGAAACAGTTTAAGCAAGTGATTGCTCACAAAGAACGATGGTTGACCATGAAAAATAAATTGTTGTGAGTTTAATCAAACATCGAAAATGACAAGCTTGTCTGGAGGCTCAGTAACGATCATGGTCAATAGCCGCTATTGTACAGGCGGTCTGTAATTGTTTACAGATGACAAGAATTGGCCTTAACACTTAACAATCTCGGTCCATGGCCATCAGGCAAGTTACAGACGTTCGTTCCCACAAGGGTAATTCTTTTCCCATTAATCTTGTAAGCTATGTTAATTCACTGGCTAAGTCAGGTGACAAATAGTCAATGAATCAGACGATAGTTGGAGGCTGCGGTAAAATGATTGATCACTTTTTAAATAAGAAACGAAAACATCGGTAATCAATGAGACTTGATGCTCTCCGGTCTTTTAAGGTGGAGATCGGACTGATTTTAGCTTGCTAGGTACTTTCTACATGTCTGTTGAATTCGTTGATCGGTGGTTTGATTTCAGAAATCATTTTGTAACTTTTAAGCTGTATTCTATTACTGAATATTTCTATAAATCTGATTGGATATTGTTATTGTAGTATTGACCAATCACACTTCTTGATATTGTATCATCAATATGAAGGGGCTCAAGGGTCATCCTCCTTTTCCTGTCTAGATGTTATGGGTTCGAATCCTGTCCCGGACAAGGTGATAATACCACAAACAATTCGTCTGAAAATTGACCCATATTGATGTTATATTCACTTCGCGAGGGCTGAGTATGCTACAAATACACGAAGCAACTCCTTCATAAACGAATAACGATTTATATTCCAGAGTCGAAGAAAAGATGTCGAGTGAACGAGGAGGTGATAAAAACTAAAGACGATGAAATCAGAAGATTACAGGATCAAGTTAAACAACTTCAGTCCAAATTCAAACAAAAAGTTGGTGAAATCGACGTAGAGAAACAACAAGAACTGTACATCGCGAAGATGATGGAAGGCAAGAAAACCAAGGCTAAAGCTCTACCTAAACGATAGCTGATAGAAAGCCGTAGAGGACAATTGTCTCGTTGCATTTAATTGCACGCTCAGTTTAATATGGTTTGTACCTTTGTGAGCGTCACTTGCATTAACCTGAAAAGTTACGTGGTTGGATGCAGGATCTGTAGGGCGGATATGCACATGGAAGATAAATGCATAAAAACATACTTATTTTGTTTAAGGTAGTTTAGGTGATAATAAACACTAGATATTCTGGGTTTCATATTTGCGAATATTATTTATTCTACCCTTAAACAAAATAGACTGCGTTTGTTCAGGTTCGGAAACGTCTACGGTTAAACATTGATGATTAAAAACATCGTTCGGGTATGCTCAAGGTTGCGAAACGTCCTGGATGTGCATTTCACTGAACCCCTAGTAGGGCCTATTGTCTTTACTGTATTATAATTACGGGTTTTGTTTTTGAAGAATTAAAGTGTGTTTTGTTCTGGGACTGTTTTCATTTGCTCTTTATGCAGAAACGCAGAATGTAAGCTTCTGAGTCATTTAATTGTTCATTATACACTCTATGACGTCGTGTCAGTGTCCAACCAGGTGCTTTAAAGAATGCCCAATCAGGTGCTGTAAAGGTGCCGTAAGGAATGCCTAATCAGGTGCTGTAAAGGTGCCGTAAGAATTGCCTAATCAGGTGCTGTAAAGAATGCCCAATCAGATGACGTAAAGAATGCCCAATCAGGTGCTGGAAAGAATGCCCAATCAGGTGCTGTAAGGAATACCCAATCAGGTGCTGTAAGGAATACCCAATCAGGTGCTGTAAAGAAGGACGATTGATCTCATTTCATTAATGCTTGCGGCAATCTGAACACAGAAACTTGATTGAACTCATTAGTACAGATACACCATTTCTGATTTCTAATACTTACATGGTGTAAAACATCAGTGCCCAACCAGGTGCAAAAAAGGTTTAAAACTCCGATTGATTTCATTTTTTGCTTGATTGAACTATTATCACTGATACATATACACTTGTTCTGATTTCAATTACAAGTCAATATCTAATTCCATACTCTGTATTCTCTCTTAATTAATCAGCCTGATAGATTATTTGTCATGTCGGGTCAAAGGTCAATCTGATTGTCTATTATCATTAACGGACTATCCAGCTCGCTGCTCTATTAAGACTTAAGGCCCTTTCACACGAGCATCGGAATATTGCGTGTTACAGTTCATAAGTCACATATAAATATAAGGCTTGAATCAGAGTCGTGGTAGTCATCTGTTCCCGACACTCAATTCTAGCATTTTAGAGTTTTTTGATTTCTGCGCCCATACTATTAATACTCCAACTCCACTTAAGATAAACACGGTTTTACCCATAATATTTCAAATTATCTTTTTGTCACTTGTTTAAAGCTTATTCATTCGATTAAACGTGTAAATAAATAGATCAATTTGAAATCGTGATTTCCTCTGCAACCGTTATACTATATTGCCGTATAAAAATACACCTTCTTCGATCCAAGTCCATGTGAAGGAGCCTTGAGTAAGAAAATCGATGAAGACTGTATGTTCTGTAATTGAATTAGGTTCCCATAGGACTCTAACGTCATAATATTTCCTACATAATAGCTTGGTCTTATAAAATTATCATTTTCTTATAACCTTTGATAAGGGGATGCTTTCTCGTGTCACGAGTACCTCATCATTGATCGTACAAATTCGGGAATTGTGTATTACTTGGTGATGAAACGAAATGGTAATAAATTGCTTATGACCGTAAGTTGGTATTGGATCATTTAAAGGCGAATGTATCTTTTCTCATAGATAGCCCAATGTATCATGAGGGGCGGGAACTTGGATTCAACCAGTCAATCGAATTATACATCATTATACCACCGATTGCAGTGAGGTGATCTGTAATGTTTAATTAAGAAAACACAAATATCACGGTTAACCACCTGGAATCCTTTGGTTACAGGTTTTATAAATCCTTTGCTACAGTTCTCTTGACTAACCTATACATCATAATACCACCGATTGCAGTGAGGTGATCTGTAATGTTTAATTAAGAAAAGACAAATATCATCTAAGGACGTTTAACCACCTGGAATCCTTTGGTTACAGGCTTTATAAATTCTTTGCTACAGTTCTCTTGACTGACCTCATCTTCACAATTACAACTGTTGATATCTTCGAAGACTACTTATGCCTAGACTACAATAGCCACTATCTTGTATCGGGCTGTGCAGTGATTTGATTGGATTGTACTACAGCGAATACGGCCAATCATAGCCCTCGATAGAAAGACTGTAAACATTAGGCTATGGCTTTGTGTGCACAGACTTTCTATCGAGGCCTCTGATTGGCTGTATTCGCTAGCGCATAATCCAATCAAAACGCTTCATTTATCAAGTTATAGCGAACTTATTATACTTATACCTTGACTGCAATAAGAAGTTTCTACTACAAGAAAGGTGTCTATTGCAGTCAGGGTATAATAGTGCCAATGTTAAGATAGACTTACCTCTGTATAAAGCTAGGAATGAAATTGGACATATCCTTTCATTCAGCTGATGATCTTTTAACAGTGTTTGTTGCAGCATAATCCTGACATAAATCTCCAGGAATATTGATACTCGGATATCATTTGTGGAAACATGCTTTAACATTACTGAAGACGTATTAAGCCACGAATAGACGAGGTACGGTGTCCGCACACGTTTCTTCTGTTTTCGGAATGCGGAATAATCGATACAAACGAAAAATGAAGAAGTGAACACACGAGGTACGGGTCCGCACACGTTTCTTCTGTTTTCTAATGTATTCTAATGTATTTCTAATCCCGCACCGTTCACCGTACCGCACCTGTGTGTTTTTTAGGTGAAAGTTCAATATCATCCATACCATTTTGCAGCATTTAAATCTGCCTTACGGTTCCGTTACAATTTCTTATAAGAATATGGAATATTGTCACTTCAAGGTTCTTAACTTTCGCACGTGTAGTTATTTCTTATTAGCGATATCATGACAGTATAGTTATAAAGCGTTCAAACAAAGCACAGTGTTTCTGTGGTCTACATATTCTGGGTCCCATAATCTAAACCCTGAAAAATCTGTCATAATATGACCTCTTACTCCCGTCTCCATTCAAACTTGCACAAAGACCCTCTTTTAACCACTTATTCTTCAACTAGTTACTTTTTATTTCAATGTCACGGAATTTTTCTAAATCAAGATCAACCCATATTTACACACAGTTCATTACATTTCATTTCGAGTCTCAATATCACGCTGGTCTTCTATCTTCTATTATCTGAAATACGTCAGCATTACGTCGGCATCGTACAGAAATAGTAATTAAAAGGTTCAATCTCAATTTTAAAAGGAAAAACGTAAGAAATGGTTCCACATCAAAAGTATTTCCTTTCTGGGAAAATGAAAATAGAAAATGTTTTAATTTGGAATATTTCTAATTTGGGATGAAGGAATCTATTTTCAGTTACCCCAGAAACTTCGAACCATAATTCCCATTTCCATAAAACAGATAGAAGTTATTAAACTAAAAAAAAACCTTGAATTATCATAGGTTTGACCGACCCCTGTTTCTAAAGAAACGTTATATAAAAATTGTGGATAATTACAGTGCCATTAAATTAAATTTTAAGTTAATGAAACTCAACATGACACGTGTATGAATTTTGTATCTGATGATTCAAGGATGATTGTCCCGAAATTTCATCAAAAATCAGGTATGCTCATTCTGTTGTAAGAACAGCAAACACGAGTCAATGGGAGAACCGAATGTTAAGAAGAAATGCTCCACTGCATGTCCTGAACATTTTGCCTACTTCACTTTTGTTTGGACAAAGAACATTTACACAAAAGTATGAGACAGAGTGCATTTAAGATCAGTTGATAGTTCAAAGAATGGGTCAATATTGCTGTCTTGGAAAAATTCTTCCAATTGTCCACTGCACATGGCGTTGAACACCCCATCTTTTTAAGTCCAAGCAGGAAAGGATACAGAGGATGTAAAATGCCGTATTATTTCGAGCCCATGTCGTTTTCCTGGACAAATTCTCTTCATTGTACACTGCATGGTGTTATCTAATCAGACAGTGTACAGTACACAAACCCAATCTAGGGAAGTCATAGAAGACTTAAAGTTCCAATTAATTTCATATTATTTCAGCCTCTTCAACGACAGAGAAGTAAGACGTAAAACTCTATGTCATGTCATTTTCTTTCATTTTTATATCTCCGACCCGTTGATAGAATTTGAGTGAATAATATTTACCAGTATTTACTAGTGTAAGTTTTTCACTACTCTTATCGATTTAGCTGTATTTAAACTCACCAGATCTCCAGCGAATTGTCACAAATCAATATCGGTGCTACAGAGACATAGAACTAACTTCACTGCTTTGATACGTCGTCAATAACTAACTCCATTCACAGCCTTCTATCACATGTATTTGAAATCAACAGTTGATAATACCCGGAGTTGTACTAGCACAACTCGATCTGAATATTATTGAGCCATTCGACCAGTTTTTACATGTTTTACAAGTGTATGATTGCAATGTGATTGTGTTCATTATTCTACATGTCAATATTCATCAGGATTCAGTGTATAACATATATTCCGTAACGCTGATGGGATCAACAGAATGTCAAGGAATCATGTGATATGATGTGAATTTTCTGATTGTGCCACAGTTAACATCGTGGTGTCACAAGTCTGAAGACAAGAAGAATATATTGTCGTTAATTCCTAGTCTAAACCAATGTGAAGAGATCATTGCTGACAGACATCCGCGTCGTACTACATCTTACATTATTCAATAAATTCAACGATCTAGGCAGAATAGGAATAAAACAAACTTGTGTCGAGCGAAGGTGGAATAATTTTAACCAGATATTCGTGTATATTAGTCGCTTCTTCGAGTCTCAGACAGAAAGGCTGTGATTCGCTTTACGAATAGTATCATTGGAATAACTATTGGCTTCGTCGCATTGTGATTTCAGTAACTGTGGTGAACATGGATTATACGCCAACGGAGTATATCCCCTTTTAGAATCTAATGAACGTTTTTCTGGAATGAGTTTTTGGATTATTCCTCCTTGATAGTGATATTTTGTGTTTTAAAGATGGATTATCGTCATTGTGGTGTGGATTAAATCATTTCCGCTGCTAATATGAGGGACAGGACATCCTCTAGCGGCTCGGGTAAGGGGGTCAAGAAACGCCAGACGTCTTCAGTGGTTATTGAGGATCACGACAGCGACGCCTCACTGGTAAGTCAGGGTTATCTTCCCTTTTCTCTATTTTATTTTACGTACCTTATACATTGAACGCTCCCCTCATCTCCAAGCCTCCCCCTTTCCCCTTTGTCAATTCTGTGGCCATTTCCAATAATTAATAGAAGCGCCACTGCCAACTAAGAAATCATCTTGATAGGCAATCATCGTAATAACATGAATTTAG